GTTCTTGTCTACGACCTCTCATCTACTACAAGACGACACCATCACTTCCACCTTCATCACTGTTGACCGTGAAGCTTGACTGCCTAGTCACTGGCGCCCCGCAGGACTCACCTATTTCAGATCGGCACTTCTGCGAGGTTAATCACTCTTGGCTCCGCCGTACCCGCTTCCAAGCGGACCAACATCGTTCCGCCCATCTTGTGCCCCATTCTTCGAGATCGAAGATTACTTAGGTACGACATCCACCTAGCCTGATGTCCCTTATACGCATCTTTGGCAGCCATATACTAAGTGCTATACCAGGCTCGCTTGTCATCTCTCTCAACTCTTCACCTCCAAACCATGACCAACGTGGCGCCGGCTTCAGTATCAGGAGCCTCGGGTGACGTTTCACCAACAGGCGTCTCGGGTTCTGCAACCAACTCCAAGATGAGGAAGAGGACCAAGACTGGATGTCTCACCTGTCGAAAACGCCGCATAAAGTGTGGTGAGGAGAGACCTACCTGCGCCAATTGCATCAAATCCAAACGTCAGTGCGAGGGCTACAACCAGAGAGTCATCTTCAAACCCCCAATTGGAGATTGGCCAAATCATCCAGGCGTGGTCAGCACTATCCAGTACCACACTTCGATGCTTCCAGGGACACGCAACCAATCATATCGCGGGCCTGAGCCTGCTGCCGCTATGCAAGAGAACATGCTTGGTTCGATCCAGCCCCGCATGCATGGCAGCTACGACTTCTCACACATCGACCCGAGCTCAGGCCCAGGGCCTTCAGATCCCCAACAAGGTTTCACTGAAGGGAACCCCAACTATCCACATGAGCAGGCTTATCAGCAGCCACTGCCGTCTCCTCTTCATCAACAGCCGCTCCAATCGCCAAACCACCAAGTACATAACCACACTCCAACCGCTTCATATTTTCCGCCGCCTCCGACAATGCACACAAGTCCACAAACACAATTTAGACACGATTCGCACAGCACCTACCAAGCGCCCCTTCAATATACCCAGAGTGCATCATATCCACCCGTTTCGGTCCCATACAACCACGAATCCAACCTCAAGGCCGCAGTTCCTCAGCCTCCGCCAATCTACCCACAAGCCTATCGATCTGATAGCCAGCAAGCCGAAGGTACTTATCGGGATCATTCCAGTGTATCCCCTAGAAGCGACCAACACCCCCATTACACAGAGGCACCGCCAGGGGTACAAAGATATGAGAGTCACCCGCAAGCCTCTGTGCACTCTATACAAGGACCTCCGGCAAACTTCAGCCAGATTGGAAATCTTAACTACCCAGCAGTTTCTCACGCTGACTTCAGTCATGCAAGTTATCCTTCTGTTCAGATGCCTATTCATGATATGACCCCAGATGTAAAGTATATGTCTCAGCCCGTCCTCGGTATGTCTCGTGTCTAGTTAAAACCTCGTATACCCCAATGATTACTATTATTTTCTCTGTGTCTAAGCCCTCGTCCACTGTCACTCCATAAAATTGTGCATGCCTCTGAATTCTAGGTCTATCCCCAGTCCTTTCTAGCTGCAACAGCACGCTACTCTCAATCACTGTGTAGAATTATATGTCATCTAGCTGACTTTTTATGTCTACAGAACAACCCTACGCCGTATCACAAGCGCAGCAACCTCAACCGCAACTCCTTCTTGATGGCTTTGGCGGTGACGACCACGTCAGTCCTACACAAGTTCTCGACGAAGCCGCAATCGAAAATGAAGATGACGATTACTGGGACGTCCAGTCAGACGAAGACATGTTTGATGCGGAGACCGCGGAGGACGAGAAGGCTTTACTTGCGACCAAAGAATTCGACACCATCCGTCGCATACACTTTGAGAACTACAACGAGCTGGGGATAAGGCGGTATGATGCATTTCTATATGATGGATTACTATCGGACTATAGACCAGAATATGCAGCAAGTCCTCTACGCAATCCCAAGACTGCGAGGGTTTTTGCACACTACATTCATGTGGTAAGTGCGACAGAGACAATTGCATAACTTGTCTTGTCATCGCAAATGCCGCGTAACTTCCTAAACCTCCACAATCATACGATCCACTGACTTCCGATAGACCGGACCAACGTTGTCAATGTACGAACGAAACCCTCGAAATCCTACCCTCATCTTCGAAGGTTCTACACGACCCGCTCAGCAGGGTCTTTGGACATACACACTGCCTATGAAGGCTCTCAATCATCAGGGATTGTTGCACGCCATGCTAGCGCTCGCGAGTCTGCACATTGCAAGATTGCAAGGCGCCTCCATAACACCATCGTACAAACATTATGCATACTCCTTGAAACGACTCGTCCGTTCTCTCAGCAATCCTAAGAAACGCTTATCGACCCTTACGTTAGCCACCTCCTTGCTTTTGGCGTTCTACGAAGTTTGGACGGCAGAGCATGTCAAATGGGGTACACATCTTATCGGGGCCCAGCGCCTCATCACTGAACTCGACTTCCGATCACTAACGCGCGAGGCGAGGCGTTTGCGAGCGGCTCAGACTGCCATGGAACGAAGTTTCCCATACCAAAACCCTGAGATGCTCATCGATCAGAGGCAGTTTGATCAGAGACTCAAAGACAGCGCTTTGATGCCAGATCAGAGTCTTGTGAGCACGATTGTTGGCAACAATGTCAACTATGACGATTTCGGAATGGTCTTCGAAGATAACGGCGCAAGGCACGACACAAGGCCTAAGATACCTGCGAAATTGGATCTGCAAAGCTACGAGACACTACAGGATATATATTGGTCATATGCTAGACACGATGCTTATCAAAGCATCGTCAGCGGCAATCGCCTCATGTGAGTATCGTGGGTAGGTTTTTAGAACATGCGACTGACAGGTAGTAGTAATCCTTATCGTAAATGGTCAGATTGCCCTCCAAGAGCCCCGCTTGGCCGAACCGATGCTCTCTATGGCTCTCATGACCATATTATCCTTCTTTTAGGTCGCATCGCAGACTTCACTGTTAGGGACCGTAGTCGCAAACTCCGACAAATAGAAGCTGACGGTGGATGGCGACCTCGCCCTGGTATGCCTGGTTTTGGGAACATGGGACCGCCCCCAGGCGGTTCACATGGTCAGCAGCAGATGCCCACGAGCTCTACAGGTCCCCCACCTCAAATGCAAGGCCCACCACCAGGATGGAAGGGACCACCGCCTCCAGGCTGGACAGGCCAGGCTCCATCACAACCTCCCCCGGGTTTTGGACCGCCATCTATGTCGGCTGCAAACCCACCCCAGGGTGGTCCACCTAGACCACCAGCTATGCCCAGCTTCTATGGAATGGCGCCATCAGCAGGACCAGGACCTATTCTTTCCAGTTACGAAAACCCTAATTATGAACGCTCACCACAGACACCAAACGCGCCCCACCCTCAACATAGTAGTGATCTGCCTGCTGAATATGAGAAGGCTATTTTGGAATGGGAGAGTATTACCAATGCACATACTGCAGTTATGCGTGTCTTGGAACAGACTGATGCCTTCGCACCATTGCCAGAAGACACCTACCCACCAGCGCCAGGAGAATATCCTAGTCAACAAGGAAACATGACACCCTTTGGCCCAGCTATTCTACATAGAAGCTACGACATATCCATTCTATGGACAATAATCCACCTCTCCAAGATCATCCTTCTACGATCTCACCCGGGCATGCCACCCGCTGCTCAAATGGCGGCTGGTGTATGCGCATCCGCCACATCCCCATACTGCATGCTCATCGGCCGCATATGTGCTGGTTTCCAGATGCCCATCGATTCGGACCTCTCTCCCTTCCTTGGCGCAGTCTTGACAGAATCTACCTTATCGCTTTTCTTCGCTGGCATTACGTTTCAGGATCCGCGACAACGTGAGTGGCTCATCACCAGGTTACTAGAAACGGACAAGAGGACAGGTTGGGCTAGTGCAGGGATCATTGCAAAAGGGTGTGAGACAGCCTGGGAAAAGGCTGCAGAGATGGGAAGAGGGCCGCCGTACAAGAGGAGGACGAAACGGGTTCAAGCAGTCGGCGTTGACATGGAAGAAGAGGAGGCCGATGGAAGGAATAGGGAGCAAGGAAGAGTACAAGAAATACACGGAGAGACAAGATATGTGGTGAAGAAGCGGCCACCGCCATGGGCTATGAATTTGTTAGGCACCGAGGAGGATCTCCGAGCTGGGATGGAGAGATTTGGTTTGTAAGGAGGTAACAAGGGAAAAATAGAGAAAAAAGAAGAAGCTGATAACCGACATTGAGGAGAGACGACAGAAACGGGAACGGGGCATTGAACTGCGTAAAGAACTGCACAAAAGTCCCCCATCAAACGAGCCAGCACCGCGAGACTCGAAATAGCCAAAGCGCAAGACACCAGCATCATCATTTCGGTGGTGGAAGCAGACACGGAACACATTCTGAGGGGGAGGAAGACAAGACCAAAACCTGATTCCCGCCACTTATCCCGAGTAAGCACTAGCTTGTGAGCAAGTCAGGAATCCATTGTCCATTGCCTACACTATGCAGCAATAAGAAAATCCTTTCGGAACGCTCGTTGTACGGTTTACTACATCTTCCCTACGCCAAATAGATAAACAACACCACCCATTCGCAACAAACGCTTACCAATACGATTCTTCGGAATGACAATGTCACAATTACGCGACGGATCCCACAAAACAACTGTTTACATACTGCTTTGAGCAAAGCCTCCCATATCCAGCGAGCATCATGCATAACGCATCACGATTTATACGATATACGATACCCCCTCATCTGAAAAGAAGCATTGTTGCACAGTTACATTGTTACCAAAACGCAGCGATCAACACAAGAAGATAGTACTTGTTTTTTCGGCAGCTAGAGAGCTTGGAGAATGTAGAATGATAGCAAGATCTGTTGGTTGCTGGGGCATCCTCTAATCCGTGCAGATAAAAGGCTAGCGTAATCGGTGTACCAGATAATGGCCATCTGTTCACGTCGGCCCCATCGGGCGGGGGAGATAACAGTGTTGTTGTTGAAAGATTCGGGGCATGCGATAGCAGGCAACGCTGATCAAGAAATCTGTCTGAGTTCGAACAAGTGTATTGAACTATACATGATGATTTGTCTACAGATTCTCCAAAGGTCAAATTACGCCCGCTCGCTCGTTAGCTAATGAGAACATGAGGTGTTTTTGAGGACTCGTGTCTGATGGATGCCACCAACGCCTCTTCTCAGCCCAGCAACCATGTCGTGTGAATCCAATTAGAAAGAAATGCTCCGTGCCATTTAATATGCCAAACTCCGATGTACGCCTTATCCAGTGATGGCGTTGTGCAAGCGTCTCCAACTACGGCTATTCCTCAATGCCGTAGTGTCCATTGCGCTTCTAGAAGAAGTAGTAGAGCACACTCCCACCCGCTGTCATAAAAACGCCGAACCACCACCACTGCTCGGCCCTGGCGGCGCCAGGCGTCCTCTTGTACAGCACTTCGTGGTTCATAGGTAGTTCGCCGCGCTTCGAGTTCTTGGCTGAAGGGGTTTGCGTCACGAGAGGGTTGAGGGTTGTGGTGGGTAGCATTTTCGGCGTGGACATGGCAAGGTACAGAGGCATCATGGGCGCGCCGTCCCATTTGTAGAGGGTGATGCGCGGGATCTTGTGGTAGGCGTCCGAGGCAACGTACTCGTAATGCTGCACAGAATAATTAGTATGATGGACTTGATGGATTTCCTGAGGTTTGGTTGATTGGGAGCGCGAGAAAAGGTATTTCAACATACATCAAATAGTTCGCTCGCGTTGTATCGTGTGTAGACGGAGTTCTTGTAAAAGCACGGGTCGGAGTAAAGTTGTCTGCCGTCCACCTTAATGGGCTTGAGGACCAGAGAACCGTTTGCGAGTTTCTCATAGGTTCCGTGTTGCCATTGGATTATGCCCTTGGGGCATTTGGGATCTGTTGCTGTGATGGCTGTCAGCAAGGCAGCATTGATGCGATTACTGCTAACGTACGGTTTGCGACAGCGCGGTAGTATGCCTCTTCAAAATGCCCATCCGCAGTAAAGGAGTAGCTGATGCCCGTGTGCTTGGGCTCGGTGAATTTCTCATTTACGGGGTCGTAGAAGTCCTGGAGGGTGGTTAGTCTCGCGTCGCTGAGCGCACATGGACATGTGGATGCATACAGGTCCGGTCATGGTTGAGTTCGCCTTGCTCGTCCAAGTGCCGACGAGTTCTGCAGGAAGGGCGGCTGTTTGGGCTTGCGCGCCCAGAATGGCGGCTCCTGAGAGCAGCAGCGCTGCTATCCGTGACAACATGGTTGGTGTGGTGTGGTGTGGTGTGGGTGCGTGAACGAGTGTGGATGGTCGGTGGTGTGCGAAAGCGAGCGTGGGTGCGCGAGGGCAGGAGGTTGGTGTGAGGAGGACGGTGGTGGTTGTTGAGGGGAGGATGTTTGGCTATGTTTGAGTGTCGCCGCCTCCTGGTTTGGATCGAATCGACAGGGATCACGCGGCTAGTTGCAGATCAGCACCGGCTTCCGGTGGACAAGGCCGACATCATCGCCCGCACCCGCAGCGGATCTTTTAGCGATTCCCGTCATCGCTTGCTTTGCTATACGGTTCTGTAGACGATTTGTTGTTTGTTGAGAACACTGCCTCTACGATTCACTATTGCCATCTTGCCACAGCACTGTAGCACCAGATCCGACTTCCGGAACATCGGTACTCTCGCTGGAACGCCGTTACGCTTGCAATTAAACGACGCTATGGCCGCGTCACTAGCAGCTGTCAAGAAGGAATTGCGCAACAGGATTAGGAGCATTCTCAAAGGACTTCCCGAAGCCGTTGCGGCTGCTCAATGTACGTCATGGTGTCTGTTGTTGCAGCTGCTTCTACTTATGCTAAAAAGCATCCACTGCTACCAAGACTCTGCTGTCCATGCCAGAGTACCAAGCTGCACGCACGATAAGTGTCTACCTATCTATGCCAGGCGGTGAAATATCCACGAGCGAGATTGTGCGCAATGCACTAGACGAGGGCAAGAAGGTCTTCATTCCCTACACGTACACTTTGGACGCGCCCAAACAAGGCCAACCAAAATCCATCATGGACATGGTAGAGCTACAGTCGATGAAAGACTTCGAGTCACTGGAATCTGACAAATGGGGGATTCCCACCCCAAGCAAAGATTCCATATCATCACGTGCAAATTGCTTTGGCGGTACCGGCATCACGAATGGGGAGACCGAAGGTGTGAGTGCTGGTCTCGATCTGATCGTCATGCCGGGTATGGCTTTCGACTCGCAGTTCGGCCGCCTGGGTCACGGTAAAGGCTTCTACGACTATTTCTTGACGCGTTGTCACCAAGTTTCACGCATGCCTTTTCGCGGTAAGAACTACTGGCATTGTGTATTTGGAGGGCTAACTAACCAAGTTGAAGTTGGCCTCTCGTTAACTGAGCAGTTCCTGCCGCCAAACGAGTCGGTTCCCATGGATTCCTCCGATTTCCGTTTGGACGCTTTGATCACCGGTGATGGCGAGCTCCGTCGCGTGGGATCTTAATATCCTCCCATGAACCTTTCAAACGAGATTGTCCGTGTTACGCGGCGTCATCTCCCTCCAAGCCTGATATATGCGCTGTGCCCATGGTATGTCTCTATGACTATGCGGAGAGTGAATAGGCTTTTGCGCTTATTGGAGCTGCTGGATGAGAGAAATGTTGTCGCCCTTGAGCAGGATCTGGCCGACCTTGCGCCTTTCCTCTGGCGCGTCTTTCTTGGCGAGAGTGACTTCGATGGCGTCGTCGATAACGAGGTTCATGAATTCGTCAAAACCCTGCGCAGTTGTTAGCAGCTGTCGCGATGAGATATTTAGGCAGTCGTACCCTAAGCTTTCCCTCAATGCGCATACCCAAGTTCTCGTACAACCATACCGAGATGGTCGCTCGTGACTGTAGAAGCTTGAAAATGAAGTTGATGGGGGGAAGGAGAACTAAGACACAATTAGCTGCTGTCGCGTCGCATGCATGTGGTAGTGGTCGTACCCTTTCCTCCGCCGCGGCCTAAGACGAGTTAGCTAATGCCTGTGCAGCAAGGCAGGAATACTGACCACCACGTCCAGTCATTGTGAGAGGTTAATCGCGAGTCTCCGGTAGTATCTGGTAGTGGTAGGGTCCGAGTCGGGGCGCAATGTGGGGAGAGGCTCGGGGGAGAAGCTGTGGTGGAAGGAACATTTCTGGCGCGACCTGAGCGGTCACAAACGCCTTGGCACCAACGTGGGGATCTTCGTGCTACTTTGACTATGCGACCGAACGCAACTGCCCGTCTCCGAACAAACTCACCACCACCACCACAACTGCCGCCTTTGTCCCCTCCCCACCGCTTGCACCTGCCGTCGTCTACACTCGCCTGACCCGTCAGTTGATGCGCGCAATATAACACTCGCCCCGCCGCCTTGCTCCGAGCAGTATCCGCATCCGTCTCCCCCCACTACCTCCTCGAATTGCCTCACCATGGCTGCCAACGGACAGCAGGTCTTCGACCCTGTGCTGGCGGCGCACAATACCATGGCGTCACAGGCGGATCGCGCACAGAAGGAGCAGGCACATCAGTTTCTGGAACAGTTCCAGAAGTCGGTATGTAGCATGGGCACATTTGCACGAGGCGTGAGGGGCTGATATGTCACAGGAAGAGGCATGGACAACCACACTGGCTATGCTAGAGGCAAACTCAGCAGACGCGGCCGCCAAGCTCTTTGCTGCCACGACACTCAAGGGAAAGGTGGGTTGTTGCTCCTGCAGCGTGGACACATGCTGACTGTGCCAGATTGTATACGATCTCCACCAAGTGCCTCGCGCACAGCTTCCAGAGCTCCGAGCGTCCATCATGCGGAATCTGGCGATATTCCATGCTGGACCCAAGCCCATACGTCTGCAGCTATGCGTGTGTCTGGCGAATCTGGCCATACAGATGACCGAGTGGAAGGATGTCCTCAAAGACGTTGTCAACGCCCTCGGTTCAGATCCAGCAACGCTACCTTGCGTCTTGGACTTTCTCCGTGTTCTCCCCGAAGAAGTCACACACGGACGCAAGATCGCTCTCACAGTACGTCCGAACGAGCCGCGCCCCGTCTTCAGCCCACGGCAATTCCCCAAGGTGTCGACATATGATAGTAGAGTTGTAGTCTAATATGTGGTGGTCAGGAACACGAGTTGACTATGAGGACGACCGAATTGATCGACGACAACGCCCAACAAGCCCTGGAACTCCTCATCCGATACGGCACTTCTTCACGTACGCTCAAACTTCCCCTTGCCAAGCTCGTTCCTACTGACCCTCTATAGCCGCTGCCGCTCAGAACCCGCAGTTGCTCAACTGTATCACGTCCTGGATACGAGAGATACCTCTGGATGCCATCATCAACTCCCCTCTGCTCAAGATTATCGTCGAAGACCTGTCCCTAGATGATCCATTCGAGGCCGCTGTGGAGTGCTTGAGCGCCCTTATTGCTGAGACCAGAGATGTCGACGAGACTCTCAACTCGATAATGATTCTCTATCCCCAGGTCATCAACCTCCAGACCAAGCTCGCTGAAGCGGCGCAAGAGGAAGACTCTGAGAAATTCAAAGGTATCGCCAGGATATTCGCTGAAGCAGGAGAATCGTGGGTCATTCTCATCGCGCGCCTACCGACTGACTTCCGCGCCCTGGTTCAAGCAATACTCGCCACGGCAGCGCTCGACAAGGAGAGGGATGCCATATCTCATACCTTCAAATTCTGGTACGACCTGAAGCAGTATCTCACCATCGACAAGTACGCCGAAGCACGCAACCAGTGCATGGACATCTACTCCAAGTTAGTGGACATCATGATCGGCCATCTCGAATTTCCCAAGCCAGAAACTGGTGACGAGAAGGATCTGTTCGAAGGCGATCGTGATCAGGAAGAAAAGTTCCGTGAGTTCCGTCATCAGATGGGCGATGTGCTGAAGGACTGCTGCGAGGTTATGGGTGTCGTGGAGTGTCTTCAAAAGCCCTATGATCTCATGCAGCAATGGGTCCAGACTTACGGCGCTCAAGCTGGTCCGAACAATGTGCCCGAGTGGCAAAAACTGGAAGCGCCCCTGTTCGCTGTCAGAGCTATGGGTCGCATGGTACCTCCAGATGAGAACATTATGCTGCCTCGTCTGATCCCACTCATCGCGGGTATACCCGACCATCACAAGCTGCGATTCCAAGCTGTGATGGCCCTCGGAAGATATACCGAATGGACCGCACAACATCCTGATACGCTACAGCTGCAATTGGATTACATCATGGCCGCCTTCGACCATTCTACCAAGGACGTTATTCGAGCCGCTGCGCTATCATTCAAGTTCTTCTGCAACGACTGCGCAAGCCTGCTGGTAAACTTTGTCGGCCCCTTGCAACAGTTCTACGCAAAGAATCTGAACAAATTACCAATCAGCAGCCAAGAGGAGATCACCGAAGGTGTTGCTTCAGTAGTCGCCAAGGTACCCAACGAACAGCTTTTGGCAACACTCAAGCTGTATCTCGACCCGGTCATGGCCCACTTGATCGAAATTGCGCGACAAGCAAAGGACGAGGCGGACCAAAAGCTCATCGCCGACAAGATCAACCTACTGACCATTTTCTTCGAGATGGTTAGACCAGAGATTGCGCCTGGACAGGAACATCCAGCGGTCAAATATTGCCAGGAGATCTTCCCTACCCTTGCCAATATGATCACACACTTCAACACAAGCATACCTATCCTGGAGCGTGTATGTCGGTGCTGGCGATACATGGTGCTCTCCTACCGTACAGCGATGCGCCCGCTCCTGCCTGATCTTGCAACCAAGCTGATTGAGGGCTTCGATAAGTCGAGGCAGGGCTGCTTCCTTTGGGCGACTGCATCCATCGTACGGGAATTCTCACAAGGTGTAGATGACGTTGACCCAAGTCTGGCGAATGATGTTTACCAGTTCTATGAGCAGCAAGCGAAGACCTTCCTGCGCATACTGAGCGATCTGCCACCCGAAGAGCTTCCAGACCTTATCGAAGACTACTTCCGCCTTGCTGCCGACATGGCACTCTATTTCCCCTCAGAGTCGATCATGTCGCCACTCATGGACACTGTTCTTCTCGCAGCCTGCAGCTCTCTGACACTGCTTAAAGAAGACCCTATTATCGCAGTACTCCACTTCCTACGTGATTTGCTCGGTTACGGTCGCAACTCATCGCCCTCATCTAGCTTCGACAACACCCGTCACGACGTCCCCGAGCAACTGCGAAACCGCGTCAAGCAACTCGTTGTTGGTGCTGGCGTTCAGTTAGTTCAGCGTATCATGACTGGAATGATGTACAGCTTCCCTGAAGGCTGCTTCGCCGACTCTTCTGGTGTACTCCTTGATCTCTTCGAGCTCATGCCTGAGCAAGTCGCTCAATGGGTTGCCAGTACCGTTGGAATGCTACCACAGGGCAGCATCACGCCTCAAGAGAGTGAGCGATTCCTCAACAATATCCGACAGCGTATCCAAACTGGCGATGTCAGAATGATCAGGACCATTCTTCAGGACTTCACTACTAGCTATCGCCGGCGCAATGTGGCACCCCGTGAAGGTCTCGGCAGACTGGAAGCCTCGCGGTTCAGGTTCTCTGGTTAGATGCTGGATTCCGAACCAAAGCTTCTGTTTCGAAACGTGAACGCGCCAGAAACTGAAGAGCAGCTAAGATGTTCTGCGCTCCTACTTCAAATGAGCAAGCTGAGCGCCTCCATAGGCCAGTAGGACAGTCGTATGTTTGGTGCGTGGTGTAGTGTATATCGAATAGCATAATTGTACTTGAAGCGTTTGTGTGTGGGCATTTGCATGGAAGATCGGAATATGAAAGGGCAGGATACCATCGGTGGGACAAAGTGCGGGTTATTGTTCAAAATGCTTAGATACCGTTCATCTCTATACTTTACAATTCTCATGTTTGTGTAAGTGTTCAGGGTGATCATTGGCTTGCTTCATTGCAGTCACCATATCAGTATTGTGAAATAGCAGATAAGCTGTACATTTGAACAGCGAATGATCGAAACATCGGCTGGACCACTGGATACTCCAGGCTTCCATTAGTCGCAAGGAGCATTGCGAACACATTTACTTGACGGCACCATAACACGGTCTATTTTATGGACATGCTCATTTGCAAGCGCCGCGATCTGTGATTGCCATACTCTGTAATAACGTTCGTTACTTCATTTAAGTACAAATTTGACGAACGCACTTCCTTCTTGTTTGGTGGTAAGAGTGCTTGATGTATGGCAGATTGGGAAGCAACGGGCTTCTGCTGTCCCAGCAAACAACAAACGCCATACCAGCTTCCTCAAGATTCTCCATACAGGTTCATCGCTGATCGCTTACCGACACAACCTTGCGCCTATCAAACAATATCCTATTTGAGCACCGACACTTCGACTCATACCCGTTACCTCCTACCATAGTGTTGTCTTTATCCTATCCTTTGACCCACTGCTGTTGACGATACTTCTCGACATTCATCATCACTCGGGACACTGCGCTGCTTACAGCCCTTCCTGTTCCTACTCCATACGGTGACAGACCTGCATCTGCATCTAAAGTCTGTTGGCTTCGAAGCTGATAACTGCACGTTAGGTATGGCTTTGGCTCCGGAATAAAAGAAATACGACCTGGAATAGGAGCTGACGCCAACTTTTCACTAGAGTCAATCCGCAAACGTAACAACGTTCCCCTTCACCTGTGGCATCTGCGCACCGCCCGCCTGGTATTGGCAAGAACAATATCGGCAGAACCTAAAGCTAGGAACCATCCAGGAAACAAACATCCTGGATCCCCCATACGGGCGACCCGGCCTCGCGAGAGCTAACTCCACAGGATCCGGTTATAGACCAACGTCCATTAGGTCGAGCACTTCAAGCGCGTCACAAACGTCTACTAGACCAAGAAGACACTCGCAGCCGGCTCTCCCACCAACACTTGCGGAGAAGATCGCACTGGGTCCTCAGCTCAATCCATACCATAGCAAGAATCCCCATCGCCTCGACAAATACAGTAGCGTTCGGGACGTTTACCTTGCCAGACAAGAGCAACGTACGAAGGAAGCAGCACATCAAGAAGAGCGACTTCAGCAGCTTCGGCTCCACCGGCGGAGGGTTTCTCGTCAGCTTGACGGATCAAGATCAGCTGGGGCTTCACCAGCTTTGAGTCGCACAAACTCAGAGAAAGATCTTCTCCGAACATCGTCTCTCAAAAACTTCACCAAAGAACTGACAGCATTCGAGAAATTTGGACCACTTAGGCGCACAAATACCGGCGACTCCAACGCATCCTCATCAGGACAGTCGAACAGGTCTAGGAAGTCAACCCTTTCTCGGGTCTTGACGGCTGACCGCTATGATCGAGACACTGAAAGAAATGAAGCACGGCAAGAGCGGCAGTTACGAGAGCCTGGCGCTAGAACGAACGGCGAGCCAAATTCTGCATCGCATGGAGGACAAGGACTCGGAAGATTCCTTGGAAAGCACCCGGACAAGAGTACTCGGTTGGCACTATCCTTAGCATCGCGTTGTTGGATCCGTATAACTGACCTGATGTAGCGAACGCGCGCGCGATATATGGACCGAATCGTTGTCTAGACGTGATAAGTTTCGCCCCGACTTCCTCACGAAAAATTGGAGCTTGCATCGTCGAACACAATCCTTCGAGTAGATCGTACGTGCATTGTTGCTCTGCAAAGGAGAACTCGCGTCTCGCTGCCTTGGAGCACTTGCTTGTAATCACCGAAGATCTGCTCCAACGACTTATGGATGCCGAGGGCATCACGAGTAGTGGCTGGTTGCCCGCCACGCCACAGTCACACCATGCAGCAATGTTCGGAAGTGCAGCTGGTAGCATAGCGGGTGGAAATAGTAGCGTAGCAAGCAGTGTCCAGCCAAGTCGTAGAGGCAGTGCTCAACCACAGGAGTAAGACTCTTTTCACAATATCGGCATCGGCATACTTACGAGAAGCAGCCTCCTCATCGACTACACGCAAGGTTCACCGCAGCTGGTGCAGCAGTCGCCACAGTTTCCACCACCCCCGAATTCGGCACCATCGCAGACTCCTTTCGTCAATGACTTCAACACGCCTTATTCACACCACCACATCCAAAAGCCCAAGCTTCCTAGAGGCAGTAGTGATACAGCGTTTCAGACGGCTACTAGCCCACCGAAGGCTTTTGTGCAGACAGTCCCGAGGACCAACAGCGATATTATCCAGCAACCTAAGCCGATGCCTGTTGGGCAGTTCCAGGGGCCTGGAAGAGGCAGGGTGCAATGGAATCTGGGCTCTGAAGGGTAGAAGAATCGGGTCTCGAGTCATCGGCTGTTTGAGGTCAGGGAAATGGTGGACTTTGGGTATTCCTAAGCTGTATTTGGATGCTTGATCTGGTCAATCAACCTTATTGTTACTGCGCCGATGTCTTCATCTTGGTTAGGGCTCTATTAATGGTGGCTCCCAGTTCCAACTGTGACTCATAAGCGTATCTTGTGTGAGACCGGAATAGAACTATCAGCTGATGTCATGATGAATATGCAAAGCTGCGCAAGTGTGACAGCAGAGATTATTTGTACAACGAATCTTGTTGTGCATTCCATGGCTTATACAGGTGACGAGAGGGAGTGATGAGTCGCAACTATTAGCGCGAAATCTTGGCGGCGGAGCGCACACATTGAACCTTGGAATTGCCCCACAGGCTACCGCCACTTCTCGTTTCTGCTATATCATAAGGGACCCCCCGACTACGACCGACGGCAATATTCACAACACGCAACCACAACCGCCAAAATGTCAAGACCTGCAGGGTGAGTCTACGCGCACGTATTTCTGCCCATGAGCGCCCGCCGCCCCCGGACCATGGCCCATCAAAAGACGGCCTTCCGCATACACACCAGCCCTACTATAGAATCTGGTGAGCTGACATTAATCCTGTAGCCGCACCGACTGGGCGGAAGAAGACGACGAGGAGTCCCTCACCTCCCTCCCACCCAACCAAGTCATCAAGAACAAGGACGGAACAGAGACAGTCATCTCCTACCGCATCGGCGAAGACGGCAAGAAATACAAGACCACCAGGCGCATCAAGAAGACGGTCGTCAAGCAGATTGTAAACCCCCGTGTGGCTGAGCGAAAGCAATGGGCAAAGTTCGGACAAGAGAAGGGCAAGCCCGCGGGCCCGCAAACAGACACCGTCTCCGTCGCTGAGAACATCGCCTTCCGACCGGTATCGAACTGGAAAGCCAGCAACGAGGACAAGGGCGACGAGGCGAAGAAGAAGGCCGAACTCAAGAATGCAAAGATCAAGTGTCGTATTTGCCAGGGCGACCATTTCACCACAAAATGTCCTTTCAAGGACACCATGGCTCCCGAGGGCGACGTCGCGCCCGCAGATATGCCCGATGACGCGCCCGGCGTCGGAGCAGGAGGAAGCCTGGGTACTGGCTCTGGAGGCTACGTTCCCCCGCATCTGCGTGGACGTGCTGGTGCTGGTGAGAAGATGGGCGGCAAGTTCGACCGGGACGATAGCGCAACCCTCCGTGTCACCAACGTGTCTGAATTCGCCGAGGAGCAGGATCTACGCGACATGTTCTCCAGATACGGACACGTCACGAGAGTGTTCTTGGCCAAGGACAGGGAAACTGGCCGTGCGAAGGGCTTTGCCTTTGTCAGTTACGCAGACAGATCGGATGCTGCTAAGGCGTGTGAGAAGATGGATGGATGTAAGTTTCAGAACAAGTCTGTGATATCGAACGATGCTAACAGGTTTCAGTCGGTTTCGGTCATCTCATCTTGCGTGTTGAGTTTGCTAAGAAGGCTTAAGCTCAAGGGATTTGTGATGGCTCAGTGACGTTGCAATTTGGCGTTCGGGGCGGTTTAACGGGCTACGACATCTATGACATGGATTTTCCATGCTTGACGATAGCTATCGTTAATGACTTCAGACGAGGCTGCTTCTCATGAATATCAATGATAAAGTGCTCGGTTTGAACGTATCACTTGACGCTCAGGATCAGGCACAGCTTCATGGGGCTGGAGGAACGTTGTGAAATTGGAGTGCTTGCAGCTTGAATTGCATCCTAGACGGCGTTTTCGCAGCCGGCATTCGCCATCAACCGTACTCCATAACCGTAACCTGGTGGATACTCATCTAGGGCGCTCTAATCGCTCGCCTTGTACTTCTCCCGATACTCATCTAGCCTCTTCAGATCCTCTTCACCACCCAAGCTCCTCAAATACTGAACAACATCATCCAGCGTCAAGATAGCCAGAACGGGAATGCCATATTGCTTCCTGACCTCACCAATCGCACTTGGTCCTGGCTTCCCATCCTCGTCATTGGGAGTAGGTGTCTTCTCTTGCCTGTCAAAAGCAACGATGATGCCGACCAGCTCTCCACCTTCCCTCTTGATGATATCAATAGCCTCCCTGATTGCAGTACCAGCGGTAATGACATCATCAACGATAACAATCTTCTTTCCCTTCAGACTTGCACCGACAATGTTTCCGCCTTCACCGTGGTCCTTTGCTTCTTTACGGTTGAAGCTGTAGCTCTTCTGTCCGTACTTGGCGAGATCAAGGTCTGCAAGCTTGTCGACTGATGCTGCTGCAAGTGGAATTCCCTTGTACGCTGGTCCGAACAGAATGTCCCACTGGAACGAAGGGTCTGACTCGCCATGTGCCTTGAGAGTGTGCGCATACGCTGAGGATATGGAGCGTAGCAGGTCGGCTCTGTGAAACAGTCCCGCATTAAAGAAGTAGGGTGATATGCGCTTGGACTTCAGTGTGAAGGTGCCAAACTTGAGCGCGCCGGCTGACACGCAGTCCTTGAGGAAATTCTGCTTGAATTCTGGTAGCGACATGGTTGATTTTTCTGTTACCGTTGATGCTTTTGGGTTCGGAAGTGGGTGAGGATATTCAGACATTTCTTTCCGAGCTCGGAAGCACGGACCCTTCTGGAAGCGTCGTCACTGATTTGATGTGTTGCTCAGAACTTTCAACTCGCGACATATCACCGCCAACGCCCCAGCACACGCCCCTCCTGCTTGCGCATCCACCACCTGCGTCACTTGCTTGTTTATTTTAGCTCGGCCTGTCTGTTTTAGGTTTTCGGGCGTCTGGGGGGAATACCACTTCGGCTGTGGGCAATCAGGCGCAACACTTGGTCATTTCTTTCCGCCATCACCACCTAGCCTCCTCGACATGGGCATGTATGTCTTGTTCCCAATCCGTACACCCGAAAACATAGCCATACTAATTGGTACTCTAGCTGGGACTCTCTCACCGGACGCAAGTCCAAGGACACGGCATCCGCCTCGCCCCAAAATTCCGACTTTGTGAAAGAAGACACTTTCCAGCCCACACCCTTCGATCCCAACACGGCCATCCAAAATCCTTCAGAATTTCTCCTCGACCCCTCGCAACTACATCCTCTCGCAGGCCTCAACCAAGACACTCTCGACTACCTGTCACTAGAAGATTCCGTCTTATCCGACCTGCCTGGCGCACAATCCGCTTTGCCTTCCCGCGGCTGGTCAGACGACTTATGTTACGGCACAGGTGTATCATACCTCTCTGCGCTGACTATTGGAGGAGCATGGGGGCTTGCTGAAGGACTACAAAAGAACCCGCCTAGCATGGCGCCACGGTTGCGAATCAACGGTGTGCTCAACGCGATAACACGACGAGGACCTTTCTTGGGAAACAGCGCGGGTGTGATTGCCATGGTGTACAATGGCATGAACAGCACTATTGGGTACTACCGGGGCAAGCACGATATGAGCAACAGCGTGGTGGCGGGCGCTTTGAGCGGTGCGCTGTTCAAGAGCACAAGAGGGACAAGGCAGATGGCTATCAGCTCAGGAATCTGCGCCTCTGTAGCAGGAGGATGGGCGGTACGTCGCACCATAATCTGCTCATTCAAAGTAAAAAGCTGACAGCCTACCAGATAACACGAAAAGTCTTCTTCGAACCTGACCTAAAATCAGTCGATTAAACTCCTAAACTAGGAGCGATTGCCCCAAGCAAATGGATCTCTCACAAAATGCTGCCTCACCGAGCCTTATTCCAAAAAACAGGCACGCAGCCATCTTTTCTCAACTTCTACTACGTTCGACGTTTGTCCAGCATTTACACGAGTGCGATCTTAGCGTATCTTCCTCTACCTCCTCATCACCACTCTGCGGGCTCTGCCCAACTTGTACAATAAGGCTGGCGTTCATCATATGGAAGAAAGACCCGGGTGCTACGAAGGCTTTAGAAAAAGGTTCATGGTGTCGGGTTGTTCAGTTTCTTTCACCCTAGGGTGGACCGGAACGGCTAGGCTGTGTGCTGTGTATTGTGTATGTATGTATGTAAAGACGAAGTGACGGAATGGAATGGAATGGAGATTAAGTAATGATATATTTGATTAAACTCCAGGGGCGAGATATGCATGCAGAATACTTGAGCTCTGCGAAAACGGGAATCTTCTTGTCATTCTGCATGTGTACACGTTTGAGAAGAGTCGCACCCTACAAGCGGCTTCATACGCCCTCCGCTCAGGTCATGAGATACTTGATCTAGTGGGTGTACGTGATTTCAATAAGAATACTAGAATTCGTCTTCAGACCAGGAATCTCAGCGTAGCTTACTCCATCTGGCAAGGAGACGCCATACTCACTTTCGACGTGGTCTTCGCTGTCTTCGCTTCCTTCTTCGCTATCTTGTTCTTCTTTGTTGTTGTCGTAACTTCTGTCTATCCACATGTTCAAAGCTGGAAATGTCTACATCGTCGGAATCTTCACTGTTGTCGTCGTCTTCCTCTAAAGCCAAGAGCTAGTTCTGTTTAGGATCGTTAATCTGGCTCGTTCTCGTCCCGATAATGGCAGTCAGTATCGTCGATTACAGAGCACATGGAAGTAAATTCGTCAGTCAAGGCAGCGTATAGCACGCAAGGCCAACGAGAATCTACCGAGTCTACCGAATTTGATAGCCTCCTCTTTCTTATTCGAATCAGGATTCTTGATTGCTTCATTGAGCTCTCTTTCCACCTCTTCCCTGATAGACAATGCTCATCCGTAGGGGTCGTATGGGCGGGAGTATTGGTAATATATGCGCACGCGACGTGCTTCTCATTCAAAATCTTCCAGAAAAGGTCGGAGTGTATCGAAGACTCGTGGTCAAGTACTTAGTATGATGGTGCCACCTATTCCAGGAACTGCGGGTATGCTGCGTGAACATGTTCAGATTCAAAGCGTCTCGGGATCAGCGAGATTGGCATAGTCGATTGGGTTCCCAACTACACACAATGAGGAGGTGTTTGCAGTATCCAACTTGTACTGATCAGCAGATGATTAGACAGGTGTGCTCTGTTCCGCCCCGGTTCCAGGGTTCACACTGAATTTCGCCGAGGGGTTTCCCATGCGGATCATCTCCGCTTCTGAGCGTGCTTGCGGATCAAATGGTTTCATGGTCGATCCAGCCAGACACAGGCAGATTTCGATGTCGAAGTACTGGCTCAAGAAGCAGGGCGTTGGTAAAGGTGGCTTGATGTATTGCGCTTGCGCCACGGACGCAAGCACCCTGTTCAAGGGAGAAACTGAACACCTCTCTGCTGGCACAGATCGATAGCATAGAAGACTACAACGCTGTTAAGCTTAGCTGATTTTCTTGCTATAAGCTAACGTAGACTGCAATAGAGGACATATTAATTCTATGCCTGTTTAGGGTTTTCCGTGTATGCCTCACAAAGTGCCCAGCCAACACGCACGAGCGCGTCCCTAGCGCGTCCCCGGAACAACTGGACACATGCGCGTCCCTCAATCAATCAAAGTACACCGTCGCTTGTGCGCACCTTCGTATATTTCACCGACACGCGCGATAGTGACTCCTGGCGCTACGGTTACCGGAAGTGATTCGACCTGTAGCTTCTGTTTGATCGGCAATGGGTCTTGCCTTGGCAGATGGGTCACTGCCGTTACATCCCTCACTGGAGAGGTGTCCTGAGCGTCGACATGGCGGTTTCATGAACGACATACTCTCTGGTAGCACTACCACAACTAACATCTTTTCTTTTTACATTACATGATACCTTAGTTGGAATACTTCGCAACCTCACCTGCTCGGCGGTGCTGTTTGCTTCTTTTTTGCGACATCATTTCTCCAATTGTATTCTCCATGGGAGAGTATAAGTCGCAGCATTCATCTCACAATGCGTAGGATCAAAGTCCCCCGTGGGACCCCATATCGCCGGCCTATGTCGAAGCAACACAAACGGTCCCTGGTGTATGCGCTTCTTTCGGCTGTCGCTTTCGGCGGGTATTACTGGTTGTACGCGCAGCCCATCGATGTATTCGCCGTTCCGTTTAGAGAGCACGAAGCATACATGCACGACGGATCAAGTCTCGCCTTCCTCAAATCAGAGCAATCCTATGATTGGCGGGAAGCGCCCTTCGTGAACAAGATCGCATCCTATATACCGCTACCGACGACCGCTCCGCACAAACTCCCTCGAGTCCAGTCCGAGCACTTTCCCGAGACGAGTTCGCAAAGAAAACAGAGAGAGAAACGCAGAGTCGCCGTACGGGACGAATTCAAGCATAGCTGGGACAGCTATAGGGAATTTGCTTGGGCACAAGATGAGCTTCGGCCTGTAACAGCGGAGGGTGAAGAGTCGTTTGGCGGCTGGGGTGCCACTCTGGTCGATTCACTAGACACGCTCTGGATCATGGGCCTCAGAGACGAATTTGATGAGGCCGTGGAGGCTGTCGCAGCCATTGACTTCGGTAAGACCAACCTTACCACTGTGAGCGTCTTCGAGACGACCATCAGATACCTGGGTGGGCTATTGAGTGCATACGACATGAGCGGCAAGCCGATCTTGCTTAAGAAAGCGATACAACTCGGAGAGATGCTGTATCGTGCATTTGACACAACCAACAACACACCTCTTGGCTGGCTGCATGTAGAGAACACCAAGGCGATAGGAAGGACGGCCTTTACTGCCGAGAGCAATATCTGCTTTGCCTGTCTTGGAAGCTTGACCATGGAGTTTACGCGTCTTGCCCAGGTCACGTCAGAGCCAAAATATTACGATGCAGTCGCGAGGATCACTATCATGATGGACCGCGCGCAAGACAATACTAGGCTACCTGGTCTGTGGCCAACTATGGTGAACGCCGCGAAAGAAGAATTCAACCAATCACGCTTTTTTTCGATCGGTGCGCTTGCTGACAGCACGTACGAATACTTCCCCAAGATGCATGCGTTGCTCGGCGGCGTGGAACCTGCGTACGAGAAGATGTACCGAGACTCAGCTGAAATGATTGACGCGTACATGCTTTTCCGGCCCATGGTGCCTGACAGCGCTCACGGAGAAGACCTACTGCTGTGTGGGGATGTCTTCACCCACGGCGAAGATGCCAGGCTAGATCCAACTATGCAGCACCTGACATGCTTCATTGGCGGCATGTTTGGCTTAGCAGGTCGCCTCTTCTCTGATCCTGACCACGTGGATCTCGGTGCGAAGCTCACCAAGGGGTGTATTTACGCCTACTCCGCCACACCCACGGGTATTATGCCAGAAACATTCGATATCGTGCCCTGCGATTCTCGTAAATCTTGTCCCTGGAACCAAACGGCTTGGGAAGTGGGTGCAATGCATCACTACAGCAGCAAATATGTTGCTCATTTCAATGACGCAGTAGAAAAGTACAAGATCCCACCTGGCTTCACCAACATCCGCGACAAACGATACCTGCTCAGACCCGAAGCCATCGAGTCTGTCTTCATCATGTATCGCATCACTGGTGACCGTCAATATCTGGACGACGCATGGGACATGTTCACTAGCATTGTTGCTGCAACTCGAACGCCTTACGCGAACGGACAAGTCAGAGACGTTACGTTTGTAGCATCGAAAGCCCCAGGCCGAGGTTACAAGTCTGTCCCAGGTGTAGGTGATGTACCATACACGCACGAAGACAATATCGAGAACAAGATGGAGAGCTTCTGGACAGCGGAAACACTGAAGTATTTTTATCTCATCTTCAGTACACCAGATATGATCAGCTTAGACGACTGGGTGTTTAATACGGAGGCGCATCCCTTTAGGCGGCCGAAGTCGAGATAAAAACAGGCTAAGCATGATGTTGAAGCCAGTAGTTGAGAATAAAGAACGAGATGAGTAAGGTCACACTGCTATTAGTATTGTCATCTTATATGATACCCGGCACGGACGAAGAAATGCGTCACTATCGCTATTGCTTTTTGGGTAGCATAGCCGGAACATTGCATTGATTGGCGTTGTAATGTAAGCTCAGACAGTTTTTTATGAAGTTCTGGCACTACCGTGTGAAATAGGTAGCCTGCTTTCGTCTTTTATTGTGGCTTTCTGTATTATTCATTCTGTTCGATCTCTCGGCCGACTCATCTGGCCAAGGTCACGCACCGGAACGAGCCTATGCGTCTGAAATATAGCCACCGGCAATCGACATCATCATACGCTTGCTACGATGCGCATCCTCGCCTTCATCTTCCTCGCAATCTGCCAGTCTTTTGATTTGCTTGCCCTTCTCATCCGCGATGAAAGTCGTCACTACGGGCTTATCCTCCACAACACTCCCTGGCGTTGTGCCAATGACCGTCTCAAAGACGACCTGGAAAGACGCCGGCTTGACGAAACGCGAGTCTACAAGCCGATCCCACTCCTGCGCTACGCACTTGAACTTATAATTGGTGCTCAACCGTGTGTTAACATGTATCTGCATCCTCGAAACGGCCAGTAAGATCGGATTCTGATACGAAGACATCTGCGGATGATCCTTTAGCATGCCTTTTATAGCGCTCCAAGCTTCGTGATAGATGCGAGTCCGAGTATTCGTATACTTTCCCTCAAGCCCGAGGTGCCACTCGCTATCTCTCCAGGCGGGCCAGTAGTCTCGCACTGCACCTGGATTCCCATTGCGCAAACGCTCAAGAAAACCGGACACTGGATATGCATCGCGCTCCGTACGCACACCAGTTGGAGGTAGGATGCGGGTGGGGGTGTCCAAAGAAACGCCATGAACCAGTGTGAGCCCGGAGTCTTTCCACGCTCGGTCGAACGCCGGTTTTACGATTTCGTCGTGCCAGATCTTGAGGAACTGCTTGTCGAGGTAAGGAACCATGGAAGCGTTTGGAAAGATGAGGAAGAGATGGGGGTTCATGCCAATATCTTCTGACATATTGTCTCCTTCTGAGGTGGGTGTGTATGTGCTTCCAAAAAGCAGCGCACGCTGGACATTTCTCTGCGTCACATCGTGACCATGTGAAATTAAATATTGAGCAATGCGATACGCGTCAGCCTCGCCTATCGGGTTCACGGACCTGCGATTCAGGTTATTTGAAATCCAAGGGGTTTGCTCCCATGTCAAACGCTTTGCGAATGCGAGTGATGTTGGGATGCAGAAAGAGAGCTCGCTATGACACTGTTCTTCTTTGGCGATGACGGAGAGGGTGGCTAGGCCGTTGATATCGCGCTCGTGCGTGATGGACATAGTGATGTTGAGTAGGAGCAGGAGAAAGAAGGCAACGAGAGGGATTTGGGATCATATGTGCGAAGAGGGGTTCTTAACTTGGTTGGACTATATTCAGTGATTAGATTATTGTGGGCGTGTATGTCTCATGGGTAAAGACAGTGAAAGCTCAGGGAGATATCACTATTGACAGCGCACGCATTGAGACATTGGAGAAACTGAATGAAAGCTTCGAGACTGTTTCGTCCAAGCATAGTAGTAGATAGACTCGAGCAGTTTGCCCACGATACTTAGCGCACTACAATGCTCTACTGATCAATAAAGATGGAGTTAAGCTGATACATTTCTGTAGCACTATCACAACAGTACCTGGGTTGTCAAAGCATTCCAAAAGAACTCCAGTCTGAATCCCGGGCCTAGATTAACGAGACTTCAAACATAGCAACACCAAAGAAATGCCGTGTTTGTGGACTTGTTGAATTGTACGCGACCCCGAGTCATACATCATTGACATGGTGGATGTGACGAACGTGACAGATCTGATGAGGAAGACTACGAATGCCTCTCGTCATATCACGATAGCCGCAACCGTTTGCTCTTGTAACGTAGAGATGTACTCTACAACACAGATTTCCACTTATACACAATAAGAGATCAATCTCCATAGAAGACAAGCTCATAAAATCTCTTAGGATATTATGAAAATTGGTGTTTGTAGTGCTCTCTTTCCCACATTTCCTGTAGCTTTTGTCATGGCATTACAAGTATGCACCCGTTCCTTGCAGACGTTTTGGTGCATGCAGCTGGGTTCTCAATATAGACTGTATGCCACTGCATCAAAAAATTGGTTTTGATTCTGTCTTCTAGCCATCCAGTGTTTAAAAGGAGTGCCTCTCACTCAACATGAGTCATGCTGTCAGACGCCAAGCTGTCAGCATAACGTCAGCACAGATTTTAGAACGGAGTATAAGCCCACCTAACCCCTTGCGCAAGTACACTTCGTCTCTCCTACACTCACTGGAAAACCCTAACCTTTACGTCGACATTGTCAACACATGTGTGCTGTGTCGTTGGGGAAGCACAATAACAGGACCTCGGAAGACCGGCAGCCTATCTTTCCCCACCGAGGTGCCACTGCGGCCTTAACCACGGTGCTCGACGAAATGAGCTACGACTCCGCTGCTCGCAAAAACGCCGCCCACTTGCGTATGCCTCAACTCACGAAGGGGTCCATCTTGTTGTAGACAAGCTTGACCAAGACGGCGCCACCAACTTGGCAACGCTTATCGTCGCGCGCTCAAGAACATCGCTATACACCCGGTGCCCCAATCGCACGAGATGGACAACTTCCGTAATAATATCGCCGATGGATTCTCATAGAGTGCAGTACGGTTCGGCGACATCAAGTCTGGCCGCGATTGGCTTGCCGCGCGGTCATAGCACGGCAAACCCTTCACCCGGGTGCATTCGAAATCGTGTCTGCGAATGATGCCATCTAGCTTGATCGCACCAGCACTCGCTTTTCATGGATCGCCGCCATGCTGTGCTCACAATTGACTATAGATGATTCCTTTCGGAGAGCCATCTCCGACATGGGACAGTACAGCCCTTGTTCTACTCGCTGCCTCTCGCCCGCGGCATGATTGTAGACTCCAATCTTGATGTGCCGGGTGTTCTAGATCCTAGTTGATGCGAGAAGAGCAGGTGATAAGGTCTATAGGTCGCACAATCAGTTGGACTCTCGCCCCACCAACGTCGTGCCGCATGGCCCTTGGATACTGTTTTGATTCCGGCCGCTTTCTCGTATAGCACACCTGCCTTTTTAAACTTAGGAACTGCTTCCATACGGCTTTTTGGAACAGGGGCCTTATCTGGCGTGCTATTGCGCGCGACCTAGCTGCGATCACACATGGTTGGACGACGATAACGCATTTGCACTAGAAGCATCATATGTATATTTTAGAAACGCCGCTCAATCCTCGGAGTGAGAATCAAACGATCTACCACGCGCAACTATGGCTGCAAATCCTCTTGGTGATGTGTTGATTCTCGGCAAGCCCGATGCGGTTGGGGGCACAGCGATCAGTCCTCCTAGCCACGAAGCGATCAACGCCTTCAACGACGAGAAGCATCGCCTTGCTGTCAATGACGGAGAAGTCGAGAAGAAGGTTGCCCTGGAGCCCGAGATCAAGGCAGTCCTTCCCGAATACGATGCGTCCGAGCAAGAGAAGGACGACAATGGTGAAGACCATATCATCGTTACTGGCGCTGACGCAGCTGCTCACCTACTGCCCCTGAGAGATGACTTCGTACCTGCGGTGACCTTTCGAAGTATCTTCTTAGCCTCTATTCTGTCCGCGTTCCAAGCCGTTGTATTTCAGATCTACCAGGTACGTCTACAGTCCTGATACATGGATCGCAGAGGCTAACATGTACTCTAGTTCAAGCCCACCCTGATCACCATCCAAGGAACCTTCATCGTCCTTATGGCCTATTTTCTCGGTAGAGGATGGGTCAAGCTGCTACCACGTGGAGATAAATTCGAGGCTCGGTGGAGAGAAAAGGGCGGAGTTGGCAAGACACCCCTATGGATCACGATAATGTCGTTTTTCAACTACGGAGAGTGGAATCTGAAGGAGCACGCCATCACGTCAATCACTGCAACCTCTGCGTCGATCGCAGCTCCTAGCAGTCAGGTCTTCGCGGCATCCGACCTCTTCTACGATATGCCTCTGAGTCCCATCACTGTTATCTTCAGCACCATCTCTATTGGACTCTTCGGCTATGGTATCTGTGGTATAATGCGTCCTATCTGCGTTTGGCACGTTGATTCGGTTTACTGGAGTAGTCTTCCCACAGTGAAGGTGCTCCAGGGTCTCCATTGGCAGACTGTCAAGGACTCCAAGCCACTCCGGTGGTTCTGGATCGCATTCTCTGGCATGTTTGTCTACGAGTTCTTCCCTGCTTACATATTCCCATGGCTGAACTCTGTATCGATCCCTTGTCTGGCTGCTATGCATGCGACTGGGTCCAAGGCAGCTATACTAACCAACCTCTTCGGCGGAGCTACCAATAATGAGGGTCTAGGCTGGTTCAGCATCTCGTTCGATTGGCAATACGTGAGCAATCCCTCTCCACAATTTGTACTTTACAAATTCTGACCCCCATCTAGATCACTTCCTTTCAATCATCACTCCCGCTCAAGTTCCAGCTGCATCAGACAGCCGGATTCATAGTCTGCTTCTTCGTCATGCTTGGTATCTACTACGGTAATGCCTGGGGTTCAAGGAGTCTTCCTTTCATGTCGACACGTCTCTTGACCCAGGATGGCAAACAGTATCCAAGCGAAAGCGTCTTCATTGATGGCATTCTCGATGAGAAAGCCTTGCTACAATACGGTCTACCGAGAATCACGGGTACTTTTGCCTATGCCATGTTCATGGCTAATGCTGCAGTGAGTTTTCTACCTCCAACATACACAATCGGGTGCTGATCTCCCTTAGATTGGCGCATTGGTCGCTCATACTGTTCTCTTTTGGGGTGGCGATACAGTCAGAGCGTTCAAGGATGCTAAGAAAGGAAAGTTTGATGATCCCCACCACGCGCACATGGCCAAGCATTACAAGGATGCGCCGCAATGGTGGTATCTTGTTGTACTCCTTGTTAGCTTCGTGCTGGGTCTCGTCGTTGTGATCAAAGAGAACGTTACCCTCCCAATTTGGGCTTATGTCATTGCACTGGCAATGGGGACAATCATTTCGCCATTCGTAAGTTTATACCCGCAGCACGTTGATCGATGATGTTGGCTGACTAAAGATCAGAGTACCTTGCTCTATGCTCGCTTTGGTAACGGTATTGCAACCAACAACTTGTCCAAAGTCATTGCTGGACTGATCCTGCCTGGACGCCCGATTGGAAACATGTACTTCGCAGCGTGGTCGCACAACGTCATCAATAGTGCTGTCCAGCTCAGTATGGATTTGAAATTGGGAGAATACCTCAAGATCCCTCCTCGCGTCATGTTCATGACGCAAATCTACGGCACTGTTTTGGGTGGATTCATCAACTACGCCGTCATGATCTCAATCGTCACAGGCAACAAACACCTCCTAGCTGACACCGACGGCAACGCATCGTGGAGCGGCGCAACCATCCAGTCGTACAACACCAACGCCTCGACCTGGGCGCTCGCCGCCTATCTATACAAGCAAGGAAAGACTTACTCCATTGTGCCCCTGGGTCTTCTCATTGGCGCCGCTATCGTCCTCGCGCACCGTATCTTAGTCCGATTCGTCCCGCGTATCGGTAACTTTTCCCTCCGCGAGATCAACTTTCCTCAGTTCATTCAATTCGCCGGTTACATTCCGTACAACCAAAGTCAGACGTGCGTGATTCTTAGCTGGACAATTGTCGGCTTCTTCACCCAATTCTACCTTCGCAATTACCGCCCGCGCATCTTCAGGGACTACTCCTACTTGATCGCAGGTGCCTTCGATGGCGCAAGTCTGACTTGCTTGTTCATTCTGTCATTTGCTGTCTTTGGTGCTGGAGGGCCTGCGATTCCGTTCCCGCAATGGTGGGGTAATAACAGCGCTGGAAACTATGATTTGTGTCCTGTAGCGGAATGAAAGGCGAGATTGTTTTGGCTGCACACCCTGATGGAGAGTCAGAGCCAGAAGTTTATAGTCTACTGTCGCTTTAGATGCAATATAAAGTATGCCTTACATCACTGTTTCTTCTGAAGTTCTGCATCATTCTTTCACTCGTGATATATTCTTGAGCGTTATATGGTTCGCAAGCTATGTCATGATGTCTTCAAGTATTTACATCAACCCAAGTGCCGTCACGGTCCTGTACCTAGTAATTCTCTCATCTACCATGGTACAGGCGCGCCATCGTATCGATAGAATTTCCCACTGTCTGACTCCTTGAGCCCAGCCACCACATCCAACATACTCTCCACGCTGACCTTGGCCTCGATCATCGCACCCTTTCCACCCATTCTCGTCTTCACCCAACCAGGATCCATGCAAATGACCTTGATCCCGTTCGCCTTCAAATCTTTCGCTTGGTGCAATGTCAACATATTCAACGCCGCCTTACTCATGCTGTAGGTACAACATTTCGTCACGTCTGTCGCAACCGTCAAGCTACCTAATCCCGAGCTCATGTTCAGCACGGTCGCGCCTCTCGCTAGAGACTTTCTCAGGCTCTCGACGATTTTGGCGGGGCCCAGAACGTTGGTCTGCATGTGCTCGTTTAGACTCTTTGGGTCAAGAGTCAAGCTTGTATCGGTGCTCGTTGCGTTGATCCCAGCGACATTAAAGAGGAAATCCAGGCTAGCACCGGTTTTGGTGAGGATCTCTGCGACGCGAAACTCGATACTGGAGAGAGAATCGAGGGAGCTGACATCGCATTCGATGATATGGATGTTTGAGTTGTTGTTCAGGCTTTCTAGTTCCGAGATGTCGCCTGATTTGGAGCGGACGCCTGCGATAATGGTGTTTGATGGTTTTGCAGCGAGTTGGCGCACGAATTCCAGGCCAATGCCCCGGTTGGCCCCCGTCAGAAAGTAAGTTGCCATTTTGGGTGGTCTTCTTGAATGGGATCGTACGGGTAGGTGACCTTTGCTGTTGGCCGAATGCGACTTTGAAGTTACGATGATTGTTTGATGTGAAATTGGGGATGAGTTTCTTAGGGGCAGGGACTCTGAAGTGGATTTTCGGGGTACTGGTTGGAGGTGAGGACGAGAGAAGTTTTGCGACTGCGAGGAGTGACTTGATGAAGTACTTCGCCTCCGCGGACGGGACGATGTGGTGGTGTTGTGCCGTGTGTCCTGCATGCGGTCTACTTCCACCGGGTAAATCATAATGGGTGACGTCGTAGTGTATTAAAGGGTAATTGGAAGTAGGTGTCGTTGAGAAGTCGTAAGTATTAGTACACAAAGTACTATACATGTTCGCCAGTTCAGTTGACTATATGTATACGCACGCACCACATGTTCGCCTGAAAAGCGCCGGTCGAGAGACCCGCAATCCCGTTACGAAGTGTCAGACCTGTCAACTCTGTTACATGGAGTTTCATGCAGTACTCGGCGACAACCAGAACAAGGCTGCGATATTATGCCCTCCGTGGCACGCTCGTCTCATGTTTTCCGATTTCTGTTACTCGTACAAATTGTTGTTCTGAATGGAGCCTGTAGGATAGAGACGACGGATTGCGCTTGCCGCTTCAGACGAACCCGATGCGAATCAAGGGACACAACCATTTCCTGCATCGTAGCGACAGTTCCCCTAAAACGCAGATCGAGAATGGATTGTGAATTACAAGGTTACGATTTTGCATAATTACTAATTCCTGCATGAATCTGAGAACTATTATTCTTACCACTGTATGATAAAAGCGAAAGAAAAGCTTCGCCCACACAGAGGTTACGAAGAACTTCTCCACCGCGAGTATCTGGTCCGCATAGCGCGGCCTCGATTTGTTATTCAATCCGCGATTGGTCTTTCGACCATCAGCATGACACATTCGTCTCCTAAAACTTCCTACGATTCGAGTGCTCCTCTTCGAAATGGTATCTACTCCATGTGGTCCACCTTGCGCTTCTCGCTGGCGCCCTTTACTACGCTCGAAAGATCGACAACTGCATCACATTAGTACGAGCAAATGGCTAATTGGGGTACGGCAGGCTTACGAGGAAGATCCAAAGGGAAGTCGACACTAGCCAGCATAATGGCTAAGAAGATGTACCAACCGCAGAGGCAGGTAACGAAGCAGAATGCACCAGCAGCCTCAGCAAGCTTGGCAGCAAGAGCTGCTCGACCGTTTGCAGCCTGGAGATAGCTGCCCGCCAGAAGGCCGAAAGCGGGCACAAGAGTGAAGAAGATAAGGAAGAAGATCAAGTTCGTACGGATGGAGCAGATGAGGTAGACTAGGCATAGAAGGCCCATCATGATGAGGAAATATGCTGTGAAAATGGTCAGAACCGAATTTCTGCATCTCTTCTCGGGTGACTTACCAAGACCGACGTTGAAGCCAACAGATTCTAGGCCTGTGCTGCCTGCGACGTTCGCATTGGCGTACGCGCCATATGAGTTGTAGAAGGGTTGGAGTGTGGCAGCGAAACCAAGCCAGAAGGCACCGAAAGAACAGAAGACAACGAAGGGGAAGGTATTGCCAAGAATCCACTGTATCAGTTGTCAGAGAGAGTCTTCAAAGGCTTTGAGAGCAACGTACTTCACCAAGACCACCGAGAATCATGAGCAGACCACCCGCAAAGTAGTACCATCCGGTGCTTGCTGCTCCACTTCCACCAGCACCACGCCATCCCATGAGGGTCATGCTCAAAGGATGCAAGGACAACAGGAAGCCGATGAGAGCACTACCCAAAGTCAGCGTTCGAAGTTTCAGGTGTATATGCAGGAGGGACATACAGAGGCGTCGGGTTACCGAATGTCTTCCGCAGATCTCCTTTTACTTTGTTCGGTGGTGACAGATATAGTTTCTCAAATAGCTCTGGAGAGATCGAGATACTACCCGCTGTTCGGATCTGATGCAATGCAGTACCAGAATCGACCGAGGCGTCGAGGTGCGTTTGTCCACCATATCCATTGCCGTAAGCTAGAGAAGGTTAGTAAAAGATGAATGTGTATACCGCAAAAGAGTCTTACGTTCTTGCCGAGAGAAGTCTTTCTCCAAAGCGTTGGGCCCGTCCATCATTCTAGTTGTCGACTCGTTCCTCGCAGTTGATCCAGCTGATAGAGTTTCTGCGTCTCTAGCTGTAGTCGCGCCGAGGTGGGCGTCGTTTGTTGCGTACTTGTGATCGTGATTGGAAGTCATACACGCGACGTGGTTGTCAAAGAGACCGCTTCCGTTGGAGTTGTTATTAGAATTAGAGGTATCGTAGTGATGATGACCGGTCGAGGACGTGGTAGTAGATGTTGAAGTCTCGTAACGTGACATAGAAGGCTAGGGAACCGGAGAGTAGGGTTGATATAGGGAGCACACAATGGTCATTAAGAGTGTAGGTAACAATAGTGCTCCGCAAACCTTGAGGCACGGATTCCAATTCCAAGAAAGCGTAGCTGCGGACGAAAGCAAGGGATCATCACCGACTATGTGGCAGGTGCAGCCAGGCCACCCTGGTAGAACAAGAGTTTGAGGGCCAACCGCTGCGGTTCCGCGTTGGATTTGATGCACGTAGTCGAATTGGCGGGAGGGCAGATCTGCCCAGGCTAGAGCTTGGGGAGCGTCCAGGTCTTGATTCGCCGGAGTCATGAGGAGTGCCTCCTTAGCTGCGGACGTGGCTTCCCTGCCGACGCATCCCCTAGGAACAGCAGTGGCGTCTCGTGCAGTTACTTTGTACGCCCTGGACACACCACCACCGATACCGTCTGAGCATCTTATAAGGCTGATGACGAACCTGTGTATGAACGGGTGAAGGAGGTCAGATTCATATCAATGACGCTACGAGAAACATCATGTTTCTTTGTGAAACTCTTCACATACTCTTAGTTTCGCCGCATTGACAAGACCTCGCCGACCCCAATACCCAAAACGGTCGCAATGGCAATGGTACGCATTCAAAGTCACAACGTGATCATGACCCGATGCAGCAACAACCAGTAAGGGATCAGCAACCCCAGGACGTAAGATCGGTTCTGCGGAGTCGAGTGGAGATGAAGCACGCGAATGCTGGGGACGCGTGCGGAGCCTAGACTTTGGAGCTAAATGATCGTCGGGCCGTCACTAATGGGGTTGGCTTTGCGGGGAAAACGTGCTAAGAACGCTAGATCCGGATGAGTGGTGCAGGCGTTATTCCCAAACGTCATGTCGCGCACGGCATCTCAAAGATATGCATGAGATTTCGTTTTGCAATCTCATGGATGGTAATCGAGATAACGACAAGGTTGCGGCAAGGTTGCACCAACGTCACTGGAGTATGCTGGGGTGTAATATTGCAATCGTGGAGGTCGCAGATCTGTACAACGGGGACAATCTAACCGACTAACTCGAGTCAGTGCAGAATGTAGATAGTCCGGCCTTGTGCGGCAAAGCTGTCGTGTGTTGGTCGTATGTTCAACTTATGATCGATGAGCCACTCCCGTAGCGCCGAAATGCAAGGAAAAGCCCATAGACCTCAGCCCCCGCGTTTCACTACCGAGGTGCGCATGATGGCATAAGAATCTAGTGTGACTCGCGTCCAGGTGTAGGGTATTTGGCGAGTAGCTTGCGCTCATCCGACAACGTATCGGGAGGAGTCCAATGGTAGCGACGGAGACATTCCGCATATGATGATGTCTAACCCAATTCAGTTGACCATAGTAAAGCCTCGGGAATTAGGTACCATTCGCAAAAGCCGGGTTCCTAACGGAAGCGAGTAGGAGTTGAGATCTGATACAAGATATTCTGCTTGTAATGTTGGATGCTGCTGGCTTCATTCAAATTCGTAAAGAAAATCCGGTTGACCTGAAGTCGCACAGTCTTTTCCACATATCGTTCCGATTAACGCACTGTTGCGACTTCATAGGCGGCAATAGGCAAGTTTGCCAGCTGTCCAAGACGCAGACCGCATCTTCCGTGGTCCCGAACCGTCAACATCCCAGTAGGACCGCAACCCAGCATACTAGCGGCGTATGCCGCACCCCTCTCTGGCATTCGGACTTTGTGGAGGATGGCATCGCAGGAGATAGCTTCCACTCTGATGGAGAATTGTGTCCACTAAACTCACATCTTCTCGCAATTGCTCCACAAAACATTCTCCTGCTGCGTACAAACTATCAGAAATCGACGGATGTAACGCGACGCTCCAATCAAAAGCCATGTCACGTTGGTCTAGGAGGTAAAAAAGGCACAATTTTTCAATAGCGTGGTGCATAAGGAGTTGAGGGTTTCATGCCGGCAGTGCTCGGAGGTTTTCGGTGCTTTCCAGTGTTGAGATGCCGAAAGCTGATGGACAAGCGACAGGCGATCCGGATCGTCGGTGTCTCCGGATGTTTGATCGTTCAAAACTCTCTCTTCTGTCTTTGGCATCTCCTGATCTTCGCGAATACCATAGCTCAGCATGGGCATAGAAATCGCCGCGAATGCCTAGTGCTGAATACTGAGTTTGAGATAGTTCATCAGGATCAAGGGAGGTACAGATGGTAGCGTTGAGTGGAGTGTGTACAACGATGATCAGACGAAGTTTGTGATGGCGGAAGGTATGCGTTCCACACCAGTCAAGCACGATGCAACCTCGAGAAGAGAGCTGACGATTGGAGAAGTATTGGACGTGCTCTCACAGTAGATGGGAAGGAGTACTTTGGTAGCCAATACCAATGATAGTACCTGCGGACGTCGTGCTCTTCATATAGCATGTACACATGACAAAGCCAGTGGTGATGCCGAGGAGATAAGTAATCTCTTCCGGCCGTAACCTTCAGTCTGTCACCCCGTCCCGAATGTGATTCTTCTCCATGCACAGAAAGAAGCTGAGAGCTTCAGCACGGTATGTGATGATGCTCCGAGGCCCTCAAGCCCCGCCCACCTCTTCAATAACCTTCTTCAAATTCTTGATATCATGCGCAAACCGACCCAAGAACAAGCCGTCAACGCCTTCGGAAATCTTGGCAAAGGTGCCGGGCCCAGCGCTCCCTCCGTAGACAATCCTCGTGGTCCCGGTCCTACCAGCAGCCATCTTCCTAAGCTCTTTTGTCACATTCACAACATGGTCGGGGTCAGCGGGCTCCTTTGCGCCAATGGCCCACACAGGCTCGTAAGCCAGTATCACCTCGGTATCGTCCGGTACTGCAGCCAGCACTGACATGACCTGGGGTTTACATTCTTGTATAGCTGCACCTACAGCTGCTGATGCGACGCTGTGGTGTGTCTTCTCGCCAATGCACACCAGCGGTATCAAGCCGTTTCTCGCTGCTGCACCAGCCTTGTTCGCGACCGTCTCGTCTGTCTCACCGAATGCGGCTCTGCGCTCAGCATGGCCAATCTCTACTATCCTTGCTCCTGCCTGGCGCAGCACCAGTGGACTGACCTCGCCTGTGTATGCGCCCTTGTCTTCCCAAAAGGTATCTTGCGCGCCCAGGATGATGGACGAGGGCTCGAGGATGCGGGCAGACTCGGTGAGGGAGACGAAGTCGGGGATAACGAAGAGATCTATGCGCGCATTCCAGGCGTCGCCGTCGAGCTGCAAGACGCCGCGAATGTAGGAGAGCGTGCTGGGCAGGTCGAAGTACATCTTCAGCGAGACGCCGACGAGGCGGCGGGGTCGAGCGATAGGCGGCATAGCAGCGGCAGCGGCGGTTCGTGTATGTGTGTAGAGAGAGAGAGAGAGAGAGAGAGAGAGAGAGGAAGCTGTCCAGCAGTCACTCTACGAGTACTATGTACCAGAAACAAGACGTCTTGGAGCTGCGCAACAACGATGATCCGGGGTTACCGTAAAGGGTAAACCCGGGGAAGGGAAAGCAAACCCGTCATCGGTGGAGGGGACAGGTGTGGGACGGACACGTTTGTGGGGCTTTCATGCCACATCCCATCACCACATGCAATGCCACATTATATTATGCACGATTCGCGACTTGCGACTTGCTGCAGTGCTTTCACCGTCTTCTGTGAATGATGCGCGTCTACCACATGTCACGCATAGCCACGCGTTCTCCAATTGGTGTCACCTGCAGCGTAGTCATGGCTTGTCGCCGAAAATGCGCCTTGCTTGGCGAGGCTCCGATTGTTCCTCCGTACTGCGCTAACCTCTTTACTGTCGACCTTCCGCTAAGGAAAACTGCACATCAACGCATCACTAACCCTCCGGCTCACTGACTGACAGCAAGAGAGAACAGTGGTACATGTCGCGGACACTCGCAGATCGCTGGGCTCGCAAAAGATACTTTGGATAGCTCGTGGGGGGTCAACACCGCAGTACGCAGCATCCTTGCATATCCCGCCCTGAGCTCACCGCGGGGTGCATATTCCTCATATTGTCCTCTCACTAACGTTGCGAAGAATTGACGCAGATTCTCTTTCCTCTCTTCTCTTCCTTTACTTAGTCTCATACTTCTCCGCCATGCACATCTCTCAGAAACTCCTCCAGGCGAGGGAGGAGGGCAAGCCGACCTTCTCCTTCGAATTCTTTCCGCCCAAGACAGCGCAGGTAACGATACCCTCATAACTCCCGACACGACGAGCGAGACGCTGACTTCACATAGGGAGTTCAAAACCTCTACGACCGCATGGACCGCATGCATGGCTTCGGTCCGCAATTCATCGATCTTACCTGGGGCGCTGGTGGCCGCCACTCCAAGTTGACCTGCGAGATGGTCAAGGTCGCACAATCCGTCTACGGCCTCGAGACCTGCATGCATCTTACATGTACCGATATGGAAAAGTCCAAGCTCGACGACGCCCTCCGAGACGCATACAATGCCGGCTGCACCAACATCCTCGCCTTGAGGGGAGACCCGCCACGTGAGCGAGAAAAGTGGGAGGCAACAGCAGGTGGCTTCCGCTATGCAAAGGATCTCGTCGTCTACATCAAGGAGAAGTACGGAAACCATTTCGACATCGGTGTGGCGGGATACTCCGAAGGCAGCGACGACAATGACGATGTCGACGAGCTCATCGACCATCTCAAGGAGAAGGTTGATGCCGGAGGAACATTCATTGTTACACAAATGTTCTATGATACTGACCTTTTCCTTGAGTGGGTCAAGAAGGTTCGTGCCAAGGGCATCGACGTTCCCATCATTCCCGGTATCATGCCCATCCACACCCATGCCGCGTTCCTACGGAGGGCCCAATGGACGAGATGCAACATCCCGAAGCACTGGACTGAGGCCCTGGAGCCTGTCAAGAACGATGACGTCGAAGTGCGTGAAGTCGGCAAACATCTAGTCGCCGAAATGTGTCGGAAGCTGATCGACGCTGGTATCACACACCTGCACTTGTAAGTCGTCCCCTCGTCACAAGAAGATAATCTTTCTCATACCTATATAGCTACACTATGAATCTCGCGCAAGCCACCCGCATGGTCCTTGAAGAGCTAGACCTCCTACCCGACCCCGAGTCACCACTAGAGAAGCCTCTTCCATGGCGGCCTTCGCTGGCGCTCAACCGACGAGACGAGAACGTACGACCAATCTTCTGGCGCAACCGCAACCGATCCTACATTGCTCGCACACAAGACTGGGACGAGTTCCCTAACGGTCGCTGGGGAGATTCGCGTTCACCTGCCTTTGGCGAGTTGGATTCTTACGGCATCGGTCTGAAGGGTACCAACGAGCAGAACATCAAGTTATGGGGCACACCAATGTCGATCAGAGATCTATCCGAACTCTTCGTACGCTATATGGAAGGAAAGCTCGAATCTTTGCCGTGGAGCGAACAGCCCATTACGACCGAAGCTGGGTCTATCCAGGACGATCTGATCAATCTGAACCGCCGCGGATTCCTGACCATCAATTCCCAACCTGCTGTCAATGGAGCCAAGTCTTCAGACCCGGTATTTGGTTGGGGCCCGCGTAATGGTTATGTCTACCAAAAGGCTTACCTGGAGGTCTTCGTCTCTCCGGAACACATCTCTGAGATCATCACGCGTCTCGAACGCGATCCTGAATTCACCTACTATGCTGTGAATAAGGATGGCGATTTGAAGACAAATGCTCCCAACGAAGGACCGAACGCTGTTACATGGGGTGTCTTCCCAGGCAAGGAGATCGTACAGCCAACCATTGTTGAAACAGTGAGCTTCCTCGCCTGGAAGGACGAGTTCTACCGCCTTGGACAGCAATGGGCAAACTGCCATGCAGGTGTCAGTCCATCGCGTTACGTGATCCAGGACGTCGTAGACACCTGGTACCTCCTGAATATCGGCAAGTACATTCGATTACACTTACATTTCTCTTACTAATGCTTTGTTTGCAGTACACAACGACTTCCACGCAACCCGTGGCATCTTCCCCATCTTCGACGGTTTAGAAGTCAAGGACATGGATAAGCCGCTGGTCAACCCCAGCGTTGATCTTCCTAGCGCAAACGGAGACGAAGCGACAAAGGTAGTCAACGGCGGTAGCCACACCAACGGCACGAACGGCGAGCAAGCTGAACCCCATAAGGAAGAAAATCCAAGCCTAATCGATGCTGCCAAAGCAGCCGCTGTCGAGGTCACCAACGGCATGAGAAGCCTGGCAATGTCCAACTAGGCTTCCGTAACTCCAGGTCTTACTGCATTCAACACGCCAAGACCAATTTGAGATGAGTCTTCTTCTAAGAAATCTCCGCTCCTAGTCTGGTGTTCAACAAGTTACGCGACAGAGCTCCTGCTTTCAGCAGACCTCTTTCATTTCAACAAGCGCGAATCTCTGGTTCTTTGTTCTTTGGCGTATATCGGTTATGGTTGGCATTGAAAGGAAAAGGTTACGATTTGCACTGCAATCATGCACAAGCATCTGGGAGGCGTCTATTCAACCCGACGACCGTCACGAAAGATATGGTGCGGGAACCTAAAAAGTTCAATAGCATAGTGTAGGATATGGCTTTCTAAGATACCCGGTCACTGCCCTCAACGGCGGTGATCAATTTTTTCACTACGATCTTTATCTATAACTTTGAGTAGATGTCTTTGAAATAGAATAGGGCATACTATCTTCGAGTCTTGAGAGCTTCACTGCATGTGCAAAGGTTTTGAGACAAGCATATGGCGTACATTGTTGTTTCTCTATGTTTTGGGATCAAGTGTGAGTGTATAAAGTATGTGGAAAGAATTGAAATGTCGCGCCATCAAGACGTCTTAGTCGTACACACTGTTCCATCCTTTCTTCACCACGTTCCCTTTTCTGGGGTAGACGTGATGAAAGCAATGACTCTAAGAGCTCATCTCACTCTTGCCGCCGCCGAACAGGCTGCTGAGCCAATCGAAGAAGCCTCCTGGGGCGTCATCGCCAGGTCCTTGCTCGCCGTTCTCCGAACCAGGCAGCTCAGGCATACCCGTGGGCTGGGGACCGCGAGTCAGAGTCTGCATTGTAGTGGGCAGACCAGGCATGCCGGTACCAGGGAAGGGAAACGGAGAGCCACCGGTGGGCATGGGGAAAGGAAGGTCGGTTGGGAAAGGAATGTCTGATGGAGAAGGACCATCACCAGGTGGCTTAGGAAAGCCACCGGTTGGGAAAGGCATATCAGGTCCACCAGGGGGCTTGGGAAAGCCGCCAGTAGGGGAAGGCATGTCGGGTCCACCCGTTGGGAATGGGAATGGAGCGTCAGGCTGGCCTGTGGGGAGTCCTGTGGGAAGGCCAGGGAAGCCTCCCTCCGTTTCTGTAGGCAGAGCGGGAGTACCGTCTGTGGGCTCCGCCAACGAGAAGCTGGGTAGCGCGCTGCCGGCTCCGGGGCCCTGTCTTGGGGCGAGCTGGTAGTCGATAGCCAAGTTTCGGACGCGGTGGCGGACAGGTGGCATACCGTCGATGGGAAATGCTCCTGTTGCTGTAGGGAAAGGAATGCCAGATGCTGTGCCGGTTCCGATTGGGGCGAAACCGGGCATCAGCTCTGGAGGAGGAGCATGACGGGACTCCTTGGTGCCGAAGATGGCGTCGAGGTAGTCGCTGAACGGGTAAGCCGCTGTGGTGCTCGCAAGAGCGGCGAGGATGACGGCGTTTTTCATCTTGATAGTGATGTCTTTGATACGAGATGTAGAAGAAGTGTTTGAGACAGAGAGAGACAGGCGATGTTGATAGCAAAGATGGTGGCACAGCCAAAAGAATGTATGTATACCGCTAGGATATCTAGAGAATGACGACAAGAGCGAAGAAAGGCCTGCTCAAAGAGAGTGTATGAGACAACTGTCTGTGAAGAACTGGTTGATGGCCATCCAACATGAGGCCAAATCCAAGGTATATATCCTCGTCCGGAGATTTCCAGTCGTGATCAACAACTCGTTCATCTAAAACCTGGTTCCCGCAAGCCCCAGAAAGCCCAGTCGTTTGACATTGCTGGAGAAGAACGCCCGTGCGACCTGCTAGTTACAGATAAGATCGATCAAGCCTTTGCGAAGACGCGCCGAAGGGTTAGAGTAATCTCTGCGGGTTAGCGACAGGTCCCATCTGGCAAGCATGATTCGGAGAGTATAGTACGGGATTCATGCCGATCACTTCTGTAGTTTCGTTTGCGGTCCAATAGAATTATTGTGCGAGCCATAGGCGCGTTGTGAACAGATGAATAGCATTGGCCAAGCCGGTAATCAGCATAAAAGCAAGGCTGCGATGGCCATGGATAGATTGCATAGAGAGACCAACATGTTTCGAGAGAAAGGTCGAGATGCTGATGCCAGGCACGGAAGGGTCGATCGCGTATAATGGTACTTGTGGGTCCGTTTCATGCGTACGCGTAACTCGCCGCCAAGAACCAAATATCGCCAGCTGATTGGTGCAAACACCTCCCGACCATGTATGCTCTGTAACAGTCACATCGTTTACTTGAGCATCGGGAGACCTGCCTGGTGTTTGGCATGTGGTAAAGGCGTGATGTGTGACGTATGCTCAGCGGAACGCAAAGATTGGCATCCAAAGTACGTCAGGCATCCTCAGGCATCCAGAGCCTCAGTTCATATCCACCCGATCCTCCTTGCAGCATAACCCCAGCCACTCAGTAGTGCAGTCACGCCTGTGAATGCAATCAGTGCTCCATATCCGCTACCATACGCAAAACCTGCACTCCAATCACCAGCATGTAGCAGAGCTTCTGAAAGCGGGCCGCTGCACAAGTTGCCGACGCCTTTCCCAGCTGATAGACACGCCCATACGAAGCCAGAATCTGCGCCTCTGCGCTTCTTCTGAGTGTCTGCGACGATAGCGCTCCAGGCGCTCGATTGACACCCAGCAAAAGCACCATAGACTATGCAGAAGATGTATAGCGGCGCCAGTGAGGTGGAAAATCCCCATAGGAGAAAGATGCCGACTGTTGAGCCCAAGGCAGAGACCATGAGGCAGGTTGTGACATGGTACTTGTCGGTCGCAATTCCCATGCAAAGACACCCGACAAATGCAGCAGCATTGACAAGAATGATTGTGACAGTGCTTTCGATGCTACCTGCACCAATGGACCGGGCGAAAGTGGGTAGATAGATTGCTGGTAGAAAGAATCCAAGGCTCTGGATGATATTGCCGGACTGTAGAATCAGGTAGTTGGAACAGGTCCAGAACGACAGGTCGAACCCCCTATTTTGCGATGTTTGAGACAACGGAAGGCGAGGTTTAAAGAAGAAGACTATGGGGAAGTTGAGAGCCACGAAGCTGAGTGCGCATACTCGTAAAGTCGTCCGGAATCCGTAGGAGTGTAGCAGCCACTCAAGTATGAGAGGAAGAATGGCCCCGCTCAATCCCAGGCCGGCCATAGTAGCTCCATAGGCAAATCCTCTTCTGCGTACCCACCACTCTTCGATGTTGAAGAGAATTGGCGTCCATGCGAGACCACCGCCCAGTGCATATAAGATGCCTTGAGTGATGATGAGGTGTGTTATGCTCGTTGAAAGTGATCCAAGGCCCAAGGCAAGGCAGACGACTACTAAACCAACTGGTGTGGCCCAAATGCGAAACTTGGGAAAGTACTTCAATACAACGAACCATATCGCAATATCCATGTACATGATACCCTGGATAGGTCTTAGTCTTGGTCTTTGAATAACTACTAGGACATACCATTGCACAAGTACCCACAACGGCAACGTTGCTTTGGCCAGAGAACTCCTCACTAGTAGCATAGTATTCTTGGAAGACACCGTAAGAGGAGGGAAAGCCCCAAATCATGGCCTCCAGCTGCAGAGGTGGAGTTGCGAAGTCAGTGTGTGTCTCACATGCATTTCTTGCACAGGAGACTTACCATGAAGCAGGAAAACAAGCAGAGCCATGCATCCCTGCCACCATCAGTAGGCGGAAGTGAAAATCCATTGTCGCTAGTTGGTTGGGATTGGTCGTTTTCTTGTAATAGTTCAATGTCTGTGGTTGCAGCCGAAGAGGGTTGTTGTGGGTAAGTGGTCAAGTCGACCTGAGTACTCTGAGTTGAAGCCATTGAGTGTCTTTATTCGAGACCCAAGGCTGTACCAGCAGACTCATACTTATGTGTATCCTTTGTAGCACGGTGGAGTCGGTAGTAGCGATGTTAGCTTGTTTTTCAATTGTACATGTAGGGCGCATTAGATGTACGGTTCAGTGGGGCTCGGGAGCCCTAAGCTCTGGAGCCGTCGGAAAAGCGCAAGAGTCATGGATGGTAGCGGCACTGGAGCACACATGGCAATATTGACGATGGCACTGTCGCCATCTGACATGTCTTCACAGGCAGTGTTGAAGGATAATCCGATGTGATGTTTGATGGTGTTCTTGTTATGGAGAAGCTAGGCTGGACGGCTCTTGGCATGATGCAGGGGCGCCCCAGGAGCGGAATTCTAGCGCGACGCGACTTGGGGATTGACGCGCCTTGACCAGGGCATTCGCGACCTCGAAACATTTCCTCATACCACAACCATGATGCATTCTCAATAACAGACACCAACCAATTATTAACCTGTAATCCAAAATCACCCCCAAGTGCCGACATGGATGACTCGCCGCGATCTTCTAAGCGGAGAAAGCTCGATACCTCGGAGCGCACCGAACCGAGCCCATCAACAAAGCCGTCGACACGGAAAGCCTCTGGCAGGCTTGCGACCAAATCCGCCGCAAATACGAACGGCGACGCTGCACAGGATGAGGTCAAGAAGCCAGCACCAGTACGCAAAGGTCGATTGACCAAGGGCGCAACAAACGGCACACCGGCGAAGCGTGCAGCAGCGGCAGAAGAGATTGATGTCTATGATGATATCGAAGGCGCATTGAACGTTGCAGCATCCTCGCGACCAGTCCGAGCCCGCAAACCGACAGAGAAAGCATCCAAAGAGAACACACCAATTGCTGCGCAGAACAAGGAGGAGATACAAACAGCCATCCCGCCCAAGCGAGGAAAGGGGCGACCTACGAAAGCGGAAGTCGCAAGTCGGAACGCTTTGAAAGAGGCAAACGATGCAAAGGGCGAATCGAAAGATGCTGTCACGCCTGTGAAGGCTGTCCGAAAGCCAGCTGCGTCTGCGCGCAAACCAGCAGCTCCACGAGCAAGTGCTCGGAAGAAGAAAGAGCCTAGCCCTATCGCAGAAGAGGATGAAGAAGCAGATGAGTTGCAGAACAACACCAAGGCCACTAAGATCTCGAGGCCACGCTCGATACGGAAGCCAGCGACCGGTACAAGGAAAAAGGCTACAGCGCTGGAATCAGAGTCGGAAGAGGCAATTGCAGCGACGCCCTCCAAGTCGGTCAAGCGACGAAAGCCTGTAGGAGAGCAAGCAACCATACCGGAGAGCGCCGACGAACTCGGCGACGGCTCTCCCACAACCAACAGGAAGCTGACTGCTAGTGAACGAAGACGCTTCAACCGCACCGATCATATCGCCAACAATGACGAAGAGCGCTGGTCGAATGCGGAAGATCAGGCCAACGGACACGACGAGGACGAAATGGATGTAGACGGGAACAGCCTCCTGGATAGTGTGCTGGACCCCACAGAACCGAGTCCTTTCAATAAGCCTACTTCAGCTCAGAAAGAGAAGCTCACGCCCTCGGTCATCTACAGTAACCTGGCGCCTGGTCGTGAGCTTGATCTACTGAAGACAATTGTCATGGACCGTATTACTGGCAAACGTCCTTCACCTCTGGTTGGTTTGGACGATGAGTATAAGTCTGTGTACCAACTTGTCGAACAGACCATCGCCGCTGGTGAAGGCAACTCAATGCTTGTCATTGGAGCTCGGGGCAGCGGAAAGACGGCGCTCGTAAACAAAGTCCTCTCTGAAGTCTCCAAAGATAATGGTGGCCAATACCATGTCGTACGACTCAACGGCTTCGTTCATACAGACGACAAGATCGCACTGCGAGAGATTTGGCGTCAGCTGGGCAAGGAGATGGACATCGAAGAGGATGGGAGCGGGCCAGGAAAAAACTACGCGGACACATTAGCGACGCTGCTCGCTCTACTTTCTCACCCATCGGAACAGACTGGCGAAGTGACTGACGAGGTCGCCAAAGCTGTCGTCTTCGTAATGGACGAGTTCGATCTGTTCGCTCAACATCCCCGCCAGACATTGCTTTACAATCTCTTCGACATCGCACAATCACGAAAAGCGCCCATTGCGGTACTAGGACTAACGACACGTATCGACGTGACCAACAGTCTCGAGAAGCGAGTCAAGAGTCGCTTCAGCCATCGCTATGTGCATCTCAGGCTAGCAACAACTTTTACTGCGTTCCAGGAAACATGTAAAGCCTGTTTGTCAATACAGCCGGAGCAACTGAGCGTCGAAGAGAGAGGTATATTAGAGGGCGGTACCAAGAGTACACCGGCAAAGAAGGGAAAGAAGAACGACACAACAGAAGATGCGCTATCACAGTGGAACGCCAACGTATCCGTAAGTTCCTCAACAGTTCACTACTGCGACGTCATGACCAGGCTGATGATCTACTAGGAACTCTTCTCATCGCGCTCTTTCCTTACCCAGCATCTTGCGCCGTCCTTCTACCTCACGAAGTCCGTCCCACAAATCCTAACCTCCTTTCTCCTTCCCACCGCGACACTTTCACCCACCACACCCTTCCAACCCGCCAACGTACTCAACTCTCCGGATTCCAAATTATCCCTCATTCCCTCACTTTCGCAGCTGTCTCTCTCCCTTCTTATCGCTGCCGCAAGATTGGATATTATCCATGACTCCGACACGTGCAACTTCAACATGGCCTACGACGAATATGTCACTCTTGCATCACGAGCCCGCATTCAGTCAGCAGCTGGCGGACTGAGTTCGAGTAGCGGAGCGAGCAAAGTTTGGGGCAAAGATGTAGCGAGACGAGAATGGGAGGGTCTCGTGGACCTGGGTTTGATTATGCCGGTCATACAAGGACAGGTTGGCGCTTTTGGGATGGTGAGATGTGATGTTGCTTTGGAAGAGGTGGGTGAGGTGTTGAAGGGGATCAAGGGTGGTGACAAGGGCTTGGAGAGGTGGTGTCGGAGTATTTGAATTGGCTGAGTTGTCTTCGTCAGACATGAAGACCGGTCTTCTATTGGATTCTTATCGGGATAGCATA